AGAACAGTCTGATACACTCAAGTGCTCCCAACATATTCTGAATTGCAAATGCCCAAGGCAGAAAGCATTGGAGCTCATTCAATTATCAGAATTATAAATATATCTTGCTTATTACAAATCCTGACAGTTCTTCACCAGAATGAATTGGGAAGAAAACTTTCAAGTCTATTCTGCTCTAACACACAGGGTAGCTGCTGCTGTAATTTTATCTTTGGAAACTGTAAACCCTTGCTGGAAACCCTGGCTCACTGTCCAGGGGGTTCATATTAAGCATTTAAGTGGCTCAGCGGTTCAGCTTACTATCAGCTGTTCAAGCTCAGCTACACAGCTGGGCTGAGATACGATGAGATCCATTCACAATGGGTTTCTGGACCTTCACAGGTATACTGAACATAACTACAGAACGTAACTAACAAAAATTGTTAGCTTTGTTTATATAGAGAGGTATAGAGACCCTCTATTTCACATATCCTGTCTGTCATGCATAATGTGCAATGTATGGAACATGTAGTCACTCTGGCAGTGGAGCTGGCAGCAGACGCAGCCACACTCCTCTTCCTGACACCTCCTCACAATGGGAAGTTACGCTGGAGCTGCTGGAAAGTGGAGAAGCAGCTACATCAAGTGGCAGGGATCCATAGAAACCAGCAGACAGGTGCTCAGGAAGCATGCAGAACCCACTGATTTGGTTCCTTAGTTTTCAATATTTCAGAAAATGTAAATGATTTTATTTCTGGTGGAAATGGTGCTGTGCATGCAGTCAAAAGCCAGTAAATCTCCTAGAAGCTGAGGGTATTCAGCTTTGCTCAGGAGACCTTATCCTCTACTGGTTTGGGCTATATACAAAGATGACAATGCCCTGTGGGCTTCATGCCAGCCTGTAGGAGAGGTAAGAACCATGGGAGCAGTCAGCAGTGAAAGACTGCTGTAGCCCTGGAGATGTGCTGGATCTATGATGCGTCACCATGGACATTACTCAAGTGAACTCTGTGTGCCTCTCTTCTAGGAGCCACGGTTCCTCCCAGACATAAAGCACTAAAAATTGGTATTGAACAGCCTCTAGGTCTGGGATGCTACAAAGTAGATCCATCATTTTGAGAGACCCAAGAGGCCTATCATGAGGGATTATGATTTTCCTGTGTCTTCTGAAATGCTTCACAAGCTGATTGAACTTGTTCATTAGCAACAGTAATGGAAACAAAACTGAGCTGGGTTACCCTTTTTTCAGGGGCTCCAGGGGTGGTCCCAACGATGTAAATCTAGAGCCATACCTTTCAGTTACAGATGGATAATTGGGATGGCAACCTGACCTGGCCTGTCTAAATCATTCATTTTAATATATTTTAAGAAGGATTGGGCTACTCTACCACAAAGCTCAAAAAGCCTTGGCACAAACATATGCAGGATTATACTTGAGGTATAGGATTCATAGCATTTACTCCTCTCATCTGGTCTTTATTTCTCTCTTCTTTACCACGCTCAGCCCAATCCAAGCCAAGAACAATATTTCTTACTGATACTGTTGGAAGTTAGAAATGCGGCCTTTTAGAAATTGGAGAGAGAGAAGGTTTCACAAAAAGAATGGCTGAGGAGGAGGGAAACCCCTCACTGACACAGTTTCTCTGGAGAGCCAGCTGCACGCTGTCGGTTACCATCACCCACTGGCTTGCAGCTCACTGAGGAGAAAAACAGACATGATCACTGCTGCACCTTGCTATGGCTGCCATAAAGCAAAACTACAAAGGCTTGACTCCCAGCCTTTTTCACATCCTTTGTGCTGACCAGCCCTGTTCTGCTCACCAAGATCAATGGGCAATGGAGGTTATGTCCACTGGAAACAAGCAATGCACTTGTGTTAAACTGCAAGCAACTCCCTGGTTTGGAAAAAAAATATTTTCTAACCAGGCTGGGCTTGGTTTGATGTGGCTTTATTGGGTACCATCTCTTGACACAGCCAGCTGAACATGTAGTTACTGAAAATGAGGTGTTATGTTGCTGAGGAATACAGAAGTGAGAACGGAAAGAAGTCACATCATGGTATACCAAGGTAATGTCCTACACCTAAAGAGATGAAAGTAATCTTTGTTTATTTTCAAATTTCGAAACGGAGATTGGTTCCTATCTAATATCTAGTCGCTGATACTTCGAGCAAAACCCCAAGTAATAGGTAGTCATGACTGAAAGGAAGGGGAAACTTACAAGTATGTACAAACACAAAGACAAGAAACATGCCAACACCACTTTACCACTTTTGTATTTTATTGTGGAACTGAGTTTGTTTCTTTTACATCAAATATCCTCAATGGAAGAGGGGATATTGCACACAAATATCATAAAAGCACTACATATTACTTTCACTGGAAACTAATTTTCTACATTAGATATGACTGGATAGAATAGAAGTGATGCAGGATTATAAGACATAATACCATACACAGCTGCAGACTGACACAAACACCATTCAGAACAAGAGAGAGGAGGTGTGTGAGGTGCTTCTCAGTAGCAACAAGACTGTTTCTTTCCATAGTTGGGAAGAAAATGGCTGCATGCAAATGCGTGAAAGCATATTTCAGATTTGTTCTTTTAAAGTTGTGATTACAGCCCAGTCTTGAAGAGGTAGCTCCTGCCATCTGGAGCTCCTAGCAAGTCTAGCACAGAGAAGCTTTGTATTATTTTTTCTTTTTTTTTTCTTTTTTTTTCTTTTTTTTTTTTTTAACCTTTTGATATTTTGTATGCCACTATTTTATTCAGTTGTTTAATTTTTTAGATTTTTTTTTTCTTTTGTGAAGTCACAACAATCAGACTTTTTTGTTTTTCTTTTAAGTACCAAACATTTTTAAACCAGGTGGACCATATAACTGCATTCTAAGAAATGCTTACCCCTAATTGCTTTTAGTGTTTTATTCAATTATTATGTGAAAAGATGAAAGCTTACGGTTTCTTTCAAATGTAAAGATTATACTTCTCCTTTTCTAATAAATCCAGACCAACAATATTACTATTTCTCTCAAAACATCATTACTGAGCAAGAACCTCTGGCGACAGATGAACAAAGAGAAGCATATGACAGAAATGTCCCAGATGTACAGTAAGCGCTCTTTGGAGCTGACTTGCTTGTAGTGGGAGGAATTCAAAATTCAATTAACAAATCAATTAAATCTTAGTAAAATGAGTACTGGAACTCTCCTAAATAGAGTAAGCTATCATAGACAATTTTTAAAAAAACATTCATATACACAGTTATCTCCATTAACCACTGCATGTAAGGTAATTTTAAAAAAACAAAAGTGAATTCTATGAAAGATGGGATAAAAAGTAGAGGTCAATGACATTGGGCCCACCACAGGACTTTGAAAAGGCATGCATGAGAGGCCCTGTCCAAGTTCGGGAGTGGGGGGATGATTTCTAAAGGTAATTCTCCATTGAATTTTATTAAGTAGAATAGTTAGTAGCATAACGATCATGACTGGGATGCTATTATGGATAACACCATCACTTAAATGGAGTGTCCTTTACACTGAAATATTGAATCTTTATAATTAGAGTAATCAATAACAAACCATGCTCCTAGAAATCTATGCCGATCAACAGCACTCATCATTAATGTACATGGTACATTTTGATGACTGTTACTAAGCTAATTGTGTAGTATGACGACTAGCACAGTTAGATTAGTTCCACAGACAGGAAAGACATTAAGGGCAAGAGGAGGGAGTTCATCACTATGTTGCACCCAGGCGTGGTTACCATTTAAAAGGAAATGGATGGAACGGGCATTACAATACCTCAGAGGAGCCAGGCTGGGCTTTTAATATTATTGTAGCAGCAGAAAATGAATGTACATTTTAAGATTGGCTTTAACTGCCTTTTTTTTTTTTCTTTTTTTTTTTCTTTTTTTTTTTTTAATAAGTAAAACAAATGCTTGAGCCATCACAAACTTACTTTGAGAGATTTAAGGCTTGATTCTAATTTACAGTAGGATCAAGTGACTGTAACTTCCCTGATTGTAGCAAAATTGCTCCTGATTCACACTGGTGTGAGATGTGTCTCAGGACCACTGCTGTGCCTAAAACAGATTTTCTACCAAAGCAAAGGTACAAACTGTTTCAGATTTTGCCAGAAAACCAGAAGATCTGTTCCCATCCTCTCAAAAAATTTGAAATCTTACCTACATATGAAAGTAGACAAAGCAGAAAGAATTGCAGAAACAGTACCAGTACAACTATTCTGTCAAACATGTTGCCTAAAACTTTGAAGATTATGTATTACTAAAGAAATTTAAAGTAAATGATTATGAGCCCAGCAAGTATGTTTGCTTTCACAACTCATTTCTAACTGCCTTTTGTGCTATAGTCATTCTGACTTGTTCTTAGAAACTTAAATGGTATAGCAATAAATAAAACAGTATTGCTAGAGATACGTATGAAAAAAAGGAAGACATTAAAAATAAATCAAAAACCGCAACAACTGACAAACAGTAATTCACAGCATTGAATGGGCCTTTAGAGCCCACAATTAAAGGGCCCCAAAGTGTAATAAAGAAAAATTCATAAAAATTAGGAGTGCAAACACATACCTATTAAACAAAAATATCCTAACAATGTATCTGAAATAAATTAGAAGTAAAGAAAATAAAATAAGGTCACAGTTCACTACATTTTGAAATGTAATACCAGCCATAACAGTGAATCATACAGACCAGCACATATCCCCATTTTGGAGGCCTTAACACCTTCTTTAACTTCCAATTCACAAATTTTCTTAAATGCAATATATTTCTTTTATTATTGGGGTAAAATTTCTGAGACTAAAAATCCAGACTATCTTGAATCATGGAACTATTCTACATGCTGTTCCTCTGCAGGCAGTCTAGAGAAGGAAAGGGGAGGGGAAGACAAGGGGGAAAGGAAAGAAGGAAAGAAGGAGAAAAGAAAAGAAAGAAGGAAAGAAAAGGAAAGAAAAAGAAAGAAAAAGGGAAAGAGAAGAAGTAAAGGAAAAAGGTAAAGGGAAAGAGGAAAAGGAAAGGGAAAGGGGAAAAGAGAAAGGCAGAACCAAAAGGAGAAGGAAAGGAAAAGGACCTACTTTAGCTTATTGCTTGTTCTATCATCTTGCAAGATCTTCTGAGGGTTGAAAATGTAGCCTACATCTCTGTAAATGCTAGGTAATCATCATTGCAAATCTTATCTTTTGATATTGTCAATAGATGAATTTTACCATCAAAATGCCCCCTCACCCACCTCAAAAAAAGTTTTGGCAGTTAATGATTTTCAACTAATTTTACCTCAATATCCATTCTCACTAGAACCTTAAACAACATTATTCATTTACCTTACAAAACTACTAAAAAATTGCCTTCACCTGAAAATTTTTCTTTGCATTTTCCTGTAAATGAAAGCTTCTTGTTAAAAATTCATCTATTAAAAGTTCACGCAATGCTAAAAAAGGTTTCTGTACATTTGTTCCCATATTCACTCTTAAATTAAACAAATAAAATAAGGTAAGACAAAGGAAGGTTGAATACTGTACAGCCTCGCAGGCAACCTTTTCATCATTCTGAATATTTCACTAAGTTCTGCAACTCTGATACCCCTTCAATCTTGCTTTCACAGTACAAAAGAAACTTTCAAAAAAAAAAAAAAAAAAAGGTCATCTTGCATTGTTGAGCTGTCCAGGTGCAACAATGAAGTGTTCACATGACTAACATACGTAATTCGTAGCACCAAACTGTTTGACCAGCCGGATAGGTTTCTAGTACCACACTCACACTTCTTTATTGGTGTAACTATGATCCTAAATGGTTGTTTTATAAATTTGCTGTCTCAACAGTAAAAAATAAGTGCATCAAGTTTCTTTGTACATTCAAGTCACTTTCTAAGGCAAATTGTCTACTGTACTCCCAACTGCTTTGGTATTTTGCTTCAGTCAATCAACACTTGACATGGGTGTTTAAGCACATGGACTGGTCAATTCTGAGTGGAGTAAATGGACTTTCACTGGGAGCATGCCTTAGACCAACAATTCTGCATGTTGAAAGGAAAGTTTTAGAGTTCTGGATGGGATTTAGACAATGTGCATATTTGGCCTATGACTGTTATGGCATGTCAGTATGCAGAGTTCAAATTAAAGTGAAAAACTGCTAATGAGAGTTTAGGTTGAACATCCCTTCCTAGACACATTCTGTTTCTTCTTATTTTCTAGATAATTTGACTTTGTAAAGTAAGTATCCCCATTGTGATAGCTCAGATAGATAAAAAGTTTAAAATTTCTTTTCATACGAGAGCATAAGCAGACTGCAGTAAGCGGTACATCTATTGCCATGAGACTAATGCAGATCTAAGTAGTTATTACTTTCTCCTCCTACCCCTCTCTTTCTCTCACTTTGCCCTCTCTTTAGAGGGCAAACGCCTATACCTGGCAGAAGTCAGTTAGGGTTGCTAGTGCATGGTTTCCAAAAGTTCAGCAGAGATGAAACTGGATCTGTATTTTCGCAGTAATCTGAACCCTACTATGGGAATGCTGTTATTTCCCTTAGCAATCAGCAAAGACTGAAAAATATTAGTGACTTGCATCACCATGACACAGTATAGTATTTGGCAGGTATATAGTTCAGCAGTCGAAATAGATGGGTCGAACTTTTAGAAAATGTGTTTTCAAATGGAAGAATTTCTGGAAACGAAGTTTAGTGTTGGGATGCACGGCCCGTTCTTACAGTTCTATCTTGCATGCGGGAAAAGATTCATCTTGCATGACAACAGTGCTGCTGCTTGCCAAAACCATGATGTTGAGGTCCTGCTGTTTCTCATGGGTCTCTTGGTACCATTCCCTCATCACTTCTGAGTCATGGGTTGGGATTAAGGTCACCTGCAACAACAAATAAGGAGAGCTCTTCAGACGCAGACAACAGAAACAACTGATAGAAAGTAACTCTGTTAAATTCTCAACTGATAAGTATGCTTTCTTTTTATAAAGAGTGCATCTTATCGCCATAAGTAGTAAGGTAAATGGACGGATAAAAAGAAATAATGTAGATAAGATAAAATGACTGTAAAGAGGCAGTTTATTGAAGTAAAACCTTGTCTCTGTTTTGTAAGGTGTTGAGATGTAGCTTTCCAGAGTCGCAGAAAAGTGTAATCTGCTTTGATAGTCCTTTAGGTAACGGCCAAATATTTTAATTACTTATCACATTGAAAATGCATGAGAAGTATCCAATTGCACATGATTGCTATTCAAACTATGGAATGTTCGCTTTTTTTTTCCTTTGCAAGATTTCCAAGCTTAGGTTCTATGTGGGATAGTAATAAATAGCCAAATAGCCTAGTAAACCAAGAGTTTCAATCTGTTTTATTCTCCAGAGATAGATCAGAAGGGTTAAGAATAGGGGAGTGGCTGAGAATGTTGCAGCTCTGTGCTTCACTTGAGTTTCTGATCCCATCACTAGTGAAACCAGGTGCCCTGGCAAAGTAACCTCACATCCTGAGCATCCACCATCCACTCCAGAACTGCTCTGGCTATGCATAGTTGCTTCCCAGAGAGGTTTTTATTTCCAGGCAGAAATATGAGCGAAGAGCCTACCTGCATGTTGCTCTCCCACTGAGCCTTGCCCTCCAGCAGGGAGTCCAGAACAGCCCTGCTTGGCTCCTCAGCCGCAGCATCATTCCCGCTCACCACATAGTAGGATGATCGCACCCTCTTGAAAAACTCAACATCAACATTCTTGCTATTGCTGTGGTTGGGAATGTACACCAGATCCAAATACACTGGAGGTCCTGGTGGCACTGCTGTAGATTTTGCTGACTTAGTAGTCCCAGGTCCTTTAGAAATGAAACAACAAAAGAATACACCCCAGGTTGGTTAAAAACAGGCATTTATTAACGACTGTTATAATTGCTGAGGTGATATTTCTTAAGAGAGATACTGCTGATTAGGTATAGAATATTTCTGTGTCTTCTGAAACAATTACAGCAGTACCCTTCTACACCTAATGACATGTTCCATTTTTATTGCATCCCAGTTGCTGTAATGGGAGGAAAAAACCTGGCAGGACCTAACTAACTGTACAATACAATAAGAGCTCACTGCCACATAACCAGATATCCACTGTACCTTTCCTAGTAAAATGTTACTATTCTCCAAAAATTATTACAAACATCTGAGAGTATTGAATTACATTCAGTAAATGGCAGCATTAACTTCTAAGTTAAGCAGTGCAGTTTTTTAAATGTCTCAGATCTGCATCATTATGAAACCTAGAGTTACACGGGGGGCCATGCAGATTGGAATCAATCTTTATTTACATACATAAATCAGCCACTTCCCACAAAAAGTTGGGAGAAGCTGCAATAGCTAGTGCATTATCTAAGAAATGCTTCAATCAAAAGGAAGTTAAAATTTCAAACATTCACATACTTACACTTGTTCACAGTGTGAACAGCCAGTCAGGATTCAATAAATAATTGTATTCAGATGAGGACCATTTATATTTTATTAGCCTCCTCATGGTGTAATAGAGAGTGATGTCTGGTACACTAAATTATCTAAGCAGTATATTTTATTTATGGCCACATGCTGAAGGGCCATGGAAATCCATTACAATTGTCTAGCATGATCTAACTTTCATCAGAGGGTCGTATGTCAAATAAGCTTCATAATATCAAAAGATATTCTGAATTAAAGCATTTTTATCTATTCGGTTTGTGACAAAATCTTTTATCATTTTTTATCACAAAAAAATCTGTGACATCTTGAGTTGTGGATACCAACACTGAACAAAATATTAGGCACGTTATTCTACTACCAAACATCAATATCAGATAGAGCCTTGTCTTAAGCTCCAAGTGTATGCCTGAACGTATGACTCAAGAAGGAAGAATCCAATATAGAGGTGAAGTGCTGGAGAAATGTACAGCATGGGGAACGATACTACCGCTTTGAAAAGCATCCACTAGGAGAGACATGCACATGGTGGTTTAAGAAAGAATTAATGGATGACTTCAAGTAGAGAAGCTATGGACAGCTGAATGCTGGTCCGCTTGCACAGAATCCCAGATCTGCAGCTAGCAAAAAGATTTCAACAGAACATCAAGCCTGATGACAACTTCAAAAACAAAGTATTTTCAAAATTCACTCTAACCAGATCTGCCGGAAACAACTTATTAGCACAATGCCTTCTTAAGTAATCTAATTTGTATTTTATTACTGCTTAGAAAACACAACAGTCATTCAAAATGACATTAACTTTCCATGTGTTTAGTCACTGCTGATGGCATAAGACTTTAACCGGATTATGTGATACACATGCTTAGCCCACTGTAAGTGCTCTTACTACTGTTATCATATTCTAAAATTCCCTTTTTAAAAATAATCCAGCTAAGTAGTAAAAAAAGCATCCAATGTCCTAGAGTATCTTTGCCTCTCACAAAACTAAATTGCATTAGTTAAGAGCATTGTGCCCACATGATTCTGAAAATGAATAAAGTGGGCCACTTCATTACTAAATTCATTTTACCTAGAAGAGTAGTACTTTTAATTCTATTAGTTGGTTAACAATTTAGACAGCTGGTATTAAGCTTTTTATATTGATGTACTTATTCTTAATTCTTTACATCTCAGCAAACAGAGACATAATGTTCCTCAGATTACAAGAGTTAATTCAGTGAATTTCATTCATTTGAATGTGTCTTATACACCCTGGATTTATGTCTAAAACATGGACTTTGAGAGTGTGCTGTAAACCACATTCTCAGCATTTATAGAGGCAACCTTCATTGCAGCAGCTAGGAAAATCTTAATACTAGAGAGCACCTATCTGCTTTTACCTGTGGTGGCGGTCTTTGCTGACTTGGATGCTGTTGTATTTACGGCATTCTTGGTGTCTTTATCTTTCTCTTCCACTCGGGTCTTCACTTCTGGAGTAGAGATATTTTTGCTTGCCTTCTCCACGGACTCCTTCTTTTTTGGAGAAGCTGTTTTGGAACTTTTTTCCAAAGAATCTTTTGCAGCTGGCTTTGGGGAAGCCACTTGTTTTGATTTACCATCACTTTTTTTAACAGGAGAAGATGATTTGGTCTTAGTACCTGTTTTCTTTGTTTTAGTCTTTTCTTTAAGATCTTTCTTCAAAGGTTTACCCAAATTCTGATCGATAGGCAAAGCCTCTGGATCAACCATGGAGACATCCGGGTGCCTAGGGGAAGGACTGCGATCCTGCATTGGGACAGGTGGTGGATCAATGTGTCTGTATGTAATTGTCTTGTCTGTTGGAATGGTTTCTGACTCATCTTCCGAGTCAATGTTAGCATCTGCAGTGATGGAAGGGCATTCCTCAGTCTCAGGAGGAACATCCGAATCAGTCTGAGAAGGGGCAGATTCGCTCACAGAAGTTGGAGGGGTCTCATCACACTGCCGCCCTTGCTGCTTTCCCCCAGAGGGTGGCTGGGCTCCCCCAGACTGAGTTAGCAGCTTTTCTTGGTCTTGAGATTGTTCTTCACTTGCAAACCACTCAAGGGGATTAGGGTTGATAAATGAGGGTGAAAGTTCGGTTTTAGGATGCTTATATTCGCAGGATGACACAAGGCATAAATCAACATCTTGACGGGATTCTGCTAACGATTTTCCTGGAGTAAAATGTGCACTTGCCTCATATGAATAGCTAGTGGCTTCAGGTGATCTAGTGGCTTTCTCAGTGGTCTCAAATGAATAATCTGCGGCTTCAGGTGACCTGGTGGTTCTCCCACTTGTATCATAGCAGTAGCTAATGGCTTCTGGTGACTCAGTGGTTTTCTCCATTGTCTCATATGAACTATCCATAGCATCAAGTGATTGGGTACCTTTCCCAATTCTCTCATACGAATAATCTGTGACATCGAGTGATTTGGTAGTCTTCCCAATTATGTCATGGGAATAATCAGTATCATCAGGTGACCTGGTTGCTTTCCTTGTCATCTCGTAGGAAAACTCTGTATCTCCAGGTGACCTGGTGGTCTTTTGTGTCATCTCATAGGAGTAATCTGTATCCCCAGATGACACAGTGGTCTTTTGTGTCAAGTCATAGGAATAATCTGTGGCCTCTGGTGACCTGGTGATTTTCCCTCTCATCTCGTAGGAATAATCTGTGGCCTCAGGTGACCTTGTAATTTTTCCTGTTGTCTCATATGAATAATCTGTGGCCTGAGGTGATCTAGTAGATCGTCCAACTGCCTCATAGGAGTAGCTAATATCCTCTGGTGACCTAGTGGTTTTCTCTGTGGCCTCGTAAGAATAACTAAGTTCCTCTGGTGATCTGCTGCTCTTCTCTGAATCTTCTTTTTCTGGGCTGAATAAAGGTTCTGGGCTGTGCTTTGTAAGGGTTTCTTGTAATGTGACAGCCTGGTAACCAAACACTTTATCAGAGGACACTTGCAGCGACAGTGGAGATGCGTGACTAGCTGACACTGCTTCTGTGACTGCAGGAGGTGAATCTGGAAAAGTAGGAGAGTATAGAGGAGAAGATTCTCTTGGAGTTAATGGAGATAAGTCAGACTTTGGTGACAGCTTTTCTCCTAGGCTGTGAACCTTTTCTGAGGTAAAAGAGTGAAGTGAGATATCTCTGGGTGGAACAGCACCTGAAAAGGTTTCCTCTGGCAGTGGTGAAGTTACCTGGGAAGGTGTATGAGCTGATGAGCTTGAAGATGAAGCTTCAATTTGAGAAACTGAAATAATTTCCGAAATATCCTTCTCCTGAGAGTAAGATGTATGCTCCAGAGGGGAAATCTTCCTTGCAAAAGTGGGCTCCTGTATATCTGAAGGACTATAATCTACTTCAGTCGGTCCATTTTCAGATATATGGTGTATACCAGTGCCTGCAGTAGGATATTCAGGAGACTGCCTACTGAAATCCATTGCTAAAGACTGCTCAGGGGATTCCTGGCCAAATTCTACTGACATAGTTGACTGTTCAGGAGATCTGTGATCATGCACTGGGGTTCTTGATTTTGCTGTCCTAGGTGAGAAATCTGGTGGAGAAATAGACATAGGCCTTGGGCATTCCTCCTTAGATGGAGACATTTCTGTTTCCTGAAATGTTGTTGGTGTTTGTACAACAGAGACTGAAAGGGAATCATCAACTTCAGTTGAGTGAGGGGATCCAACCTCAGCATGCAAAGAAGGGGATACATCATCAGTGGTCGGTTCTGGAAATGAGCTAGTAGCAACAGATGCTGTGGAGACAGAAGCTACTCCTTCAATGTGCGAATAGGTATCTTCTGCTACAACCTCATCAACAGGAGTTGCAGACTTGTCAGAAACAGTGCCTTCAGATATTGACATTTTGGTGTCTTCTTTCAGGGAACCAAATTGACTGATATCTATTTGAGTAGGTGAGAGATCACCAGTCAGCTTCCTTTCATCCAAGACTAGTGAAGACTGAGAGCTGCTGGGTTCTGTATCCTCCATTTTTCTTTCTAGGCTGAAGCCTTCCTTAATTACCATAAACTCCATGCTTTTCTCATCTTGTTTTTCTTGGAAAAGGCCCACTGAACTGGCTTCAGAAGATGGGCTCATCTGAACAGGCGATTTTTCCTTTTCAGGTTTCTCTTCAGAAGGACTTCCATAATCTCTGGTAGGAGATTTTATGTCAGCACTCAAAAATGTATCATAAGAAGTCTCTGAACCTATCAGTGGGGGACTCCGTAGAGGTGAGAGAACCTTTTCAATAGGAGATTCTGAATCTGGCACGGGCTCATCCATAGGGCTTATTCTAGGTTTTGCGGACTCATCTTTGACTTCACTGAATTCAACACTAACTGGAGCTTCTGATGACTTTTCACTTGTTTCAGAGGGAAGTTGACTGGATTTTTCATCAGTGGGAGACTGATAGTAAGGTGTGTGGCCAGCACTACCAGCAGCAGACTGTGAAGGAGATGCTACTTCTAATGTTTTATCTTCAGGACTTGCACAGTGCTCTTCAGCAATTTCTTGGTGTACACTGGGCAGTGCAGTAATGGAGGCAGTCTCAGCTGAGACCTTGATCTCATTGGGAGTAAGAGAGAAGTTCACACTACGTTCACTCAGTGGTGTTTTGGCAACTGGTGATGGAGGTGACAAACTATCAGCTGGACTCTTGTCTGGACTAAGTTTTCCAGTAACATCAACATCATCTGGATGGGTTTCTTTGATTTCTAACTTGGCAGTTTCACTTTCTTTTTGCCGGTACACATCCTGGAATGCAGATTTGCAGAACTTGTCTTCTTCTAATGAAGAAGGTGGGGAGATGGTAGAAGCTGAGGCATTGTAGTCTTTACCTTCTGTGGCCTCTGTTTTGGATCCTTCAGATAATCCATTAAAAGCATCTGGAAGTGGAGAAAGTTTAGGTCTACCAAACTCTTGAGAATACAGTGACGTTTCATACTTGGTAATGTTCACATACTCCTGAGAAGGTGATTCACTTTCCTCATTGTTAGTTTCATCACTCATGACATCCCGGGGTGTAGACATTTCATCCATAGGAGTTGGTTCACTAGATATTTCAATGGTAGACTGTGTATAACCTGAAGTAGCTGTGAATTCTTCAGGTTGATCTTCTCTATTTTCTTCATCAGAAACAGTGGCTTCACTTTCTGAACCACCAGGTAATGTTTCATCGTGGATAGAGGAGGCTGGTTCAACTGCTGGAGACTGAGGCTCTGAGCGCTTTGTTGGTGTAATTATGAGCAGGCCATATTTATCTTCAACGTCACCAGCTTCTGCAGCTTTGTCTACCACAGCCATCACATAATCTTCTTCAGCTTCTATTTTTTCAGTCTCCTCTTCATCTCTGACATCTTCTGCTTTGTCTTCCTCCTCTTCTTCAGTCTCTTCAGTTTCTGCCTTTTCTACTGCTTCTTCCCTGTCTTCCTCAGCCCGTTCATCTGATGTCTCATAATCTGCCTTTTCAATATATTTTTCGTCTTTCATTTTAGCATCTGCTTCAGCCATTATTTCTTCTGAATAGTCGTGAATTCTTCTTGCTTCTTCCATGTATGGTATTGTGGTGTCAAGTGGTGTCTTTTCTTCCTCATCTTCACCTCGTTCTTCAGCTTCTTCTGTCTCTGCCTTTTCCTCATAATCTCCTGCTTCAGATGATTCTTCCAAGCCAGTTCCCTCATCTTCAAACTTCTCAATGTCATCAACTCTGTGCTTTTCTACAGGTTCCAATTCTTCAGGCGTCTGTTCACACTCACCCTCAGCCTCTGTGGTTGTTATGCCTTCATCAGAGGATTCTGCAGGTCCTTCGTTATCTAATTTTTCCTTTTGTACTTCAAAGGCCTCTTTATGTTCTTTGCCAGTGAGTTTTAGTTCATCCTCTATGAGTGCGACCTGAGGTCTTGTTGCTTTTATTGTTTCCACTTCTTCAGCTTTTAATTCTTCAAAATCTTTTGTTAAATCTTCTGGTGAAGACATAAGGGATCTTTCTGCTTCAAGTTCTTTTCCACTAGCTGTAATTTCTGCAGCTGCTACAGTTGTCACAGCAGCTCCAACTGCTGCAAGGGCAGTTTGTGCTCCACTGACTTTGCTCTCCTTCTTCACAGTCTTAATTTTTCCTTTTTCCTTTGCTTTTCCAGCAGGTACTACTTCTTTTTTAGCAGGTTCCTCCTTCTTTTGTGGTTTAGGTTTTGCTGCTGGCTTTTTGGCTTCAGCTGAAGGAGCAGGTATCTTCTTTGTTTCTTTAGGAACCTTTTTGATATCCTTTTTAGCTTCCTTTTCTTCCTTCTTAATTTCTTTCTTTTCTTCCTTTTTAACTTCTTTTTTAGCTTCCTTTGGTGGAGCTTCTTTCTTTACTTCCTTCTTAGCTTCCTTTTTTTCTTCCTTTTTCACCTCTTTTTTAACTTCTTTCTTGATATCTTCTTTTTTGGGCTTTTCCTCTTTTTTGATGGGTGTTTTCTCCTCTTTTTTAGTAACTTCTTTCTTTGGTTTTTCTTTTTCCTCTTTCTTTTCTTCAGGTTTTGCTTTGACTTCCTTTTTCACTGACTTTTCCTTTGTTACTTTTGGTTTTACATCTGTAGCTTGTTTTTCAGAAGTTTCAGATTTCCCTAATTGCTCTTCCTTACTGGTTACATCTTTTTCTGCCACAATAGTTTTGGTTTCTGGTTTTGCTGGTTTCTCTTTTTTAACTGGAGTTTTTTCTTTGCTTTCTAATTTCTGTGGCTTTTCCAGTGCTGGACTAGGCTTTGCAGGCTCCAGTGTTTCTTCTTTAGATTCTTTTCTGACAGTCTTGCTTGGTGGTGTCTTTGCAGCTGGCTTCAGACTCTCCTTGCTGTCTGTTCGTTGTTTCAGCTTTGCTTGTTTCACAGCAGGTGAAACACCAGCGACGTTTCCAGTCAGATCTTTTTGTGTAACCATTGGCTGTTTAAGGAAGTCTAAGTGTTTGAGTTTTTCTAGTCCTTCCAGAATATTATATTGGGTGCTGTTCCCAGGAAAGAGAACTCGGATTATCTTTTCTGCAGGATTAGCTGGATGCCACACAATCAGGGATGAGACAGAAGTGAAATAGGATAATGGAATGTCTAGTTCTTGGCCATTTGGTAGCAGAAATTCAGCTTTGTCTTTGCTAGTACCACTCCACTGATGCATAAAATATTGCATCTCTTTGCTGCTTTTGACAGGATTGAGCACATACATCTCAAGTTTGCCAACTCCCATCTTCTGAAATAAAATGATTGGGTCAATTGTATTTCCTACATTTCTGAAGAGAGGTTCGGGTTTCATAGACAATTTATTTAAGTACTGGAGAGTGAAACAAGCTTCTTCCACGCTTCTTTTAACTCTGAAGCTTGGATCCATGTTCTTCAAGTTCTCAGGTACATTAAGGAATACAACTCCTAAATCAGGTGAGATCAGATTTTTCATCCAGTCACTGTTGGTAGTAGACCCTTGAGATTGTTCCTCTTCTAATTCAGCTATCTTTCTCTGAAGCATGCTATTGATTCCTGGCAGGTTATCATCCCCAATATGAGTGAGCAGAATGGAATCTACTCTGTCCAAATGTCGGATAAGTTTCCAAAAGCAGGATTTTCTTTCAGATCCTCCATTGATAAGCATATTGAATCCATTCACTGCAAATAATGCAGAGTCTCCTCTTCCACCTGGGAAAATGTAGCAGCAGGGTTTGGAGAGTTTCAAGAAGCCTCCAGAGGTTGGAGGCTCTAAAATGTCGAAGGGCGATGGCACTTCTACTGATTCTGACAGGTATTCTGTAAATTCAGAAAGTCCTTCCATTTCAGGCAATATGGAAGATGAATTGAGCTTAATGTTAATGAAGTCTTGAAGGTTGTGTCTGTCAAGGTTGGAATTTTTCCAGTCCCCTTCCTCGGGACAGAAAAGAGTTAAGCTGGCTTTGTTGGCAGGGTGTGTAGTGCTCAGTAATTCACCAATCTAGGGTTGTAAGACAAAAACGAGAAAATGCATATAAATTTTTTTAATGTTAATGTATGTCAGAATATAATATTCCCTGATGCTAGAAGCTAGAGGACCTTGCTACCACAATTAGTATTTTTACCACTATTTTTTTTTAAGTGCAAAGGAACAGGTTACTCCTGGTCTCTTCCTCACTTCTTAAAGGAGGAAATAGTCACAAGGTTTCCCCTTTCCGTCTTCTCCCTTTATAGGAGGATAGTACAGTCTTAGACTCTTTCATATTCAGAGAGGATGAGATCTACCAGTGTCAGCACTGCCACTCTCTGCCACTAACTGATGAGTCTCTACGATGCTCCAATAAATCCAGGAGATCCATGCAAATATCTATGAGAAACAGCACATTCCCTTAACAGGCTGTATTACACATAGGCAGCAAGGTTTTAGCAGCAAGGGGGCTGCAGTGGTGGCCTCTGTGAGCAAAGCCCAGCAGCTGCCCCATGTCAGATCTCAGCCAGCCCTAGCTGCTCCAGCAAGGACTCACCACTGCCAGAGCTGAGCCATGAGTAACAATGGGTGTGCTCTGGGAGAGCACGATTAAGAAAGGGGAAAACTGCCAGCGGCAGCTGGGAGAGAGGAGTAAGAAATGTGGGAGAAGCAGCCCTGCAGCGAGCAGGGTTCAGTGCAGAAGAAGGGCAGAAGTTGCCCCAGGAGTGGTACAAGAGGATGAACGGGAGGAAGGTGTTTGTAGATTGTTCTCACTGCTTTAGTCTGTCAGCAACAGCCAATACATTACACTAACCTTGCTTTCACTGAGTTTGTTTGCCCATTCATTTGTGATCTCCCTGTCCTTATCTAAAGTCATGCACTGTTTCCATCATATTTTCACTCTCTGTTCTGCTGAGGAGTGAGAAGAGTGAGAAGTCAGCATGGTGGTGCTGAGCTGCCTGTGAGTGTGAACTACCACATACCCTAGTGTGAAACGCTTTTTTTCTGTTCCAATCTGAACGAAACCCAGCACTGAATAATTCCAGATTACTACATAAGCAAACATGAGAAAGAATGACATATTTTAAACCTTCTTGTAAAGGTGGGGAAACACAGCCCATCTCTCTTGTGTTTGTTCTTAATAAAGAGAACACCAAACAATATAAAATTCTTTAAAGAGTAATTCAGACATAAGATAACACAATCTTCTTTACAGAAACACAATTGTCAGTTTAGCTATAAGCACAGTTTCCACAAAGATGTTATACATTATGCTACAGCTGAATAATTTGAAAGTCTTGGACCACAAACTGAATCAGCGGAAAAAATGTATATATATAAATGAATGATGTTTGATTTCAGTAGACCTCTGTGCACCTCTGTGTGTGCCTTGCTTCCTTTCCTCGTGTTACATTATTTATTTTCAGCATTTACTAAAAATAAAACTCAGCAAAGATGCAGCGTCTGCTATAAACACAAAAATAACCCAGTCAATATCTAAATAAAGCAGAACATAAATATTTTTCTATCTATCTTCCTTTGTCAACCTTACATAGTATTCAAACTGTTTGATAGGAGTATAAAGACATTTCACTCATATGTCAGACACAGCTTTGTCTGAAAAAGAGCAAATGAAAATGCAAAAGAAAAGAAATGAAAGCAGCGTGTACAGAAAAGGATAAAAGATAAGGAAAATGGGAAACTTATTCCAGTTGCTTGTCACAAAAATAAGAGGCACAGCAGAAATCACAACTCTGAAATGGTTCTTGAGGATAGCCATGCTGTCTCTTTGATCAGGGCTGAAAACACATTATAAGGGAGTAAAAAACCCATTCCTTTGGAAAAATAAGTCAAAGTATGTTACATACATAAGGTGATAATTTGTGTACACAATGTTTGTCATGTGGGCCAATTTTCTGTCTAGATAAAAAATTGTGCAGTAATTCAGTAAGCTAATGTATATATCAGGTCAAGGTTTGGGGTTACTCCAGTCTAGTTTGTATTGCACTGTATTTGGATTTCTGCTTCATACTTCTAGATTCAAACTTTGTTTGCTCCTAAGAGTTGGCACATGTAATGCCGATATTGTTAAGCTACTGGTAGTGCAAGCCAATGAAGGGCTCGTAAAAAATTATTCCCAACATAGATCCTATGTTCTAGAAACAGCAAACTCAGTACTTGTCCTGAAGAGGCCTTAATGGATTTGCATGTCTAACAGCAACACAAATGCAATGACAGTTTCATGGAATCATAGAATGGCTTAGGTTGGAGAAGATCTTAAAGATCTCTACTAGATCAAGCTGCCCAGGATCCCAGCCAACCTGGCCTTGAATGCTTCCAGAGACAGGGCATCCACAACCTCTCTGGGCAATCTGTTTCAGTGCCTCACCATCCTTTGAGTAAAAATTTTTTCCTAACTTTTAGTTTAAAGCCATTCCCCCTTTTCCTATCACTATCAGACCATGTAAAAAGTCACTCTCCCTCCTGCTTGTAAGCCCTCTTCAAGCACTGGAAGGCTGCAGTGAGGTCTCCCCAGATCCTTCTCTTCTCCACACTGAACAAGTCCAACAACCTCAGCCTTTCTTCATAGGAGAGGTGTTCCAGCCCTTTGATCATCTTTGTTGCCTTCAGCAACTGCTCAGTAAGCAGTTCCATTGCTTACTCTATTTAATAACAAGAAAACAATAACTGCTCGTTCTCTTCCCTGGATTAAAACTCAGACCAGGGGCAAAGAACTACATTTATGAACCCGGCCATCTTTTCAAGCACTGTAGTACATCTGTTGAAGGTAAAGAGCAAGGCCTCTGCTCAGAAAGAATACAAGATTGCTTCATATCCTGGACCACAAAGGGAAAAAGAAAGGTTTTCCTCCACTAGATGCTGCTGGAAAGGCAGAAGAATAGGGCATCTTCAACATTCTGGCACAAGAAAAGTTGAAAACATTATTAAGTATCGTGTGCAGGAAGGTCTGCAAGCAAGAGATGGATTTCTGAATCGAGCTTCAAAAGACATTTCTTTTTCCTTTGTAATTTCACTTCATGACCATAGTTCAGATAATGAACAGAAACATAAACTTCATACAAAACTCATCAAACCTTACATGGGTCAGGACAGAACAGGAATGCTCTATTTACCATTTGGAAAAACACTAACCAATTCTTTGCTAGCTTTTCTTTCTAATAGTTCTTCCAGTTTGCAGATGCCTTGAAAACTTGCCATTAATGAGTACGTAAAAAATGTCACACCTACAAACTGCAATATGTCAAGCAGGATTTTTCTTTAGATTTCTGAAATATGTAGAAGCAGTGAGAAGTCAAGGCTCAGAGACAACAAGCTGGACACCACACTCTCAAAGGGCTGTGCTATCTGGCAAGCATGTCACTAGCAGAGAGGAGCCATGGAATCCTCCTTGGAGCCTATGGGAATGTAACCGACTTGCCACACAGAAGTCCCCATGTGGCTCTAACATGTTGCCAGCCACCACCACACCACTCTCAAGCCAGATGTTTGGATTCCTAACTAATGGTAGGATTCCGGAAGAATCAAGCAGAAATGGGATCAGGAAAGCCAAGGCACAGATGGAACTACTCTTGGTGAGGGATGTTAAAAATAAGAACAGATTCTACAGACACATTGGTCAGAAAAGACAGGCCAAAAAGAGTGTACCCCCTCAGATAAATGAGAGGGGAAGACTGGCTACAACATACATGGAGAAGGCTGAAGTACCCAGTAAATTCTGTCTCTGCACTGGCAGTCAGGCTTCTTGTGTCACTCATGTTCTCAAACCTCACATCCCTGAACCTCTAGGTGAATAATGGGTGAGCAAAATCTCTCACACTCTAAGAGAAGAGCAAATTTGAGACCACCTCAGGAGACTGAACGTATATGAGTCTATGGGGCTGGATGACATGCATTTGAGAGTCCTGAAGAAGCTGGCTGACGTGGTTGACATACTGCTCTCCATCATAATTGAAAAATCATGACTGACAGGTGAGAGGGAGAGATACCAGTTTGCAGTGTGGACTATTCAGTGGATGAGGAACTGTTTGGATAGTCACAGCTAGAGGGTTGCTGAACATAGAACATAGGTCAGACGGAGGCCGATCACAAGTGGCGCCCTCCAGGGTCCCATCTTGGTAGCTCTTTCACATCCTTATCAATTGATTGAGCGTACCCACAGTAAGTTTGAAGATGACACCAAGCTGAGTGGTGCAGTTAACACAACAGAAGGAAGGAATACCATTCAGATGGACCTGGACAGGCTCAAGAAGTGGGACCATGTGAACGGAATGAAATTCATCAAAGCCAAGCACGGCCAAGTGCAAGATGTTGCACTTGAGTTGGTGCAATCCCAGATATGCATACAGCCTGGGGGAAGAACTCATTGAAATCAGCTCTGATGAGAAGGACTTGAGAGTCCTAATGGACGAAAAGCTGGACATGAGCCAGCACTGTGCAGTTGCAGCTCAGAAACCAATTGTATCTTGGGCTGCATCAAGAGAGGGGTGGCCAGCAGGGTGATTGTCCTACTCTATTCTGCCCTTACAGGGCCCTATCTGGAGCACTGTGTCCAGGCATGAAGCCCCCGGCACAAAATATGGAGCTGTTGGAACAGGTCCAGAGGAGGGCCACAAAGATGATCAAAGGGCTGAAGTATCTCTCCTATGAAAAAAGATGGAAGTAGCTGGGTTTGTTTAGTTTCAAGAAGAGAAGACTCCAGGGAAACATCATTGTGGCTTTCCAGTACTTGAGGAGAGCTTATAAGTAGAAGAGAGACTGACTTTTTCATGGTCAAATAGTGATAAGACAAGGGAGAATGACTTTAAACTAAAAGAAGAGAAATTTAGATTAGATTTGAGGGGGGGGAAATTTTCACTAGAAGGTAGTGAGGCACAGGAACAGGTTGCCAAGAGAAGCTATGGATATCCCATCCCTTAAGGTATTCAAGGCCAGGTTGGATGAGGCCATGGCAGCCTGATGTAGTGAATGGCACCCCTTCCTACAGGAGGGTTGGAACTAGATGATCTTTAAGGTCCTTTCCAATCCAATCTACAACCTGCCCCTAGTTTTGCATGAAGTCCCATGTGTTCCTTCTTAGCCAGAGGTGTATGGAGTTCAGGCTGGCTATTCAAAAAAAGGAACTGCAAATTAACACTGACTTCTAGTGATCAAATGCATTTCAAAGAGCAGGAATCCAGTTCTTCACCAAGCCTTACAACCCTATGCTGAACAACTTCATTTTGTGAACGCTATCAAATGGATACAATAAAGTCACACCAGTGCAAACTTTACTTTTTCAGTTCTGAACTTTCAAATCTTACTCCATTGAAATTCTCCTAATTAATTTTGGAAACTAAAATCCAATGGATGCAGCCATATAGTTTATTTAAATATATGACTTACACAATAGCCAAATTAAGTGTGACAGCTTGTTTACTGTGGGTTCCTGCCCTATGGGAGCTTTTAGACACAGCACATTAAGCAGGACATCAAACTAACAAGCCATGAAACAAACAGCATTAAATACTGGTATACTTTATATTTTTGGTTAATAAGAATTGCAATATTTGCAGATTTCACTGGCCAAATTTTAAACACTACAGTAAAGAAGCCAAGCAGATAGGTGTACAAAATACTACAGCTATACAGACTGCCTCTGTTTTATTTAATGTCACCAATGGCTCAGCTGCCAACAGGCAAGAACCTCTGTCAAATTCAATTTTACATCTCTGTTTGCAGCTTAGATAAATCACCTGTACATTTCAGGAAAAACTGTATTTCCTCTTATTGTAAAAAGTTCATTGGTTTTCTGTTTCTCAAGTTAAAACTTAGTTCTCCGAATCACAATGCAATTCTTCAGTTAAACAATCCACATACAAAGCAAATGAAATAGATATTTTGGAAAAAAGCTCATCATGAAGAATAAAAAAAATCAACATGAAACTGTCAACACTACCACCAACTTAATCCGTAATGCCATTTCTTATAGTCTTGAAACCTGTGCCATTGCATGACCATGAATGGAAGATACTTTTCTAAGCTACCTCTTGATCTGTGAAGATCTCAATGAAGTTCTGGAAGGAGAAGGATCCTGACTGAAGGATGAGCTCTCCTGTGTTCTCAAAACACTGTCCAGTTAGTACAAGGAGCTTGTGTCTTGCAGCATCTGTAATCATCAAACGCACCTAGAGTGAAGGAAAGAAACAGATCAACAATGGGAGCTACCATGTGTTTCTCCATTCCTCTGAGAAAGTTCCGTTTACTTCACTTAATTTAACACGTGTTTCACAGCAGTATTCCAGGACTGCTGAAACATTATCGTTGCAGATCTGCTAACAAAAGACAATGAGAGAGGAGCAAAAGAAGGTATAAGATGTGATTAGGCAGAATCAAACTAAAGACTTGAGAAAAAAACCAGGAGCAGACGAGAATAAAATCCAAATTATAAGTAGTATTTTCAATTAACATTCTTCATATAACTCTTGGTAAATTTTAATAGCACAGTAATGGGATAGTCTTTGATAACTGTCTCCATGTGCTAATGAGGGACAACTACACTTTGTTTTGGAAGGTCATTCTTTTTAACCCTCTATACAGCATTTCTTGTCATTCATGTGCAAAAATGTCCCTGACAAGAAACAGATACAAATAATAATTCTGCTTCAATAAAATCATAAACTTCAACATCAGGCATTCAGATACAGTCACGTGCACCATTCACATACCTTGATGCCAATAACTATGGTCTTTCTGTAGTGTGCTAGCCAAAGATCTTATTTAATACACACTTAGTATATTATGTGGGTGCTTGATGGCTCAAAGGAACTTACTATTGAGAAGTAGCCTTCTTCTCCATTTTGAAATAACTCTTAATTTCTTTGGAATAGATTTTGATTACTTTGCTTGACTCTCGGTACAGCAAATAGTAACTCATGTTTCTGCCTATTTAACTGCATGCTAAGAAAAATCCACATGCTCACTGTGGTTCTGTTGGCTAAAATCAACTTAAATTGAAGAATAAAAATAAATAACACCTTTGTAAGATCCTATACCATTGAGTAAACTGTTTGCAAATTTATCAGAAGTTTTGCCCAGCACTGAATAATCGATTCAGAATAAAGTAAGGCATGAATTTAAAGTTTGGTAATTCCTCTGTTCAAGGAGAACTAATATAAAACAGAGTAGCAATTCCAGAATAAGGCTATTCAGATATTAAACTAAATGAGAATTGTCCATCTGAAACAATTACGCATGTAGATATTGCATCCAAACTCCATCACCATGGAGATGACATAATCACCTCAGCATTCCTAGCAAGCCATTCTTTCAAATTCGTATATTGACTGTTAAGCAATCAGTTGTTCTGAATAATTCCCTCTCACGCCAGGGAGGCTGAGCCAGGAAGTCTTGATTTAAATCTCTGCTGAACAGCTCATGTTCTCAGCACAAGTAGAAAAGAGACACTGAAGAGTTTCTGTCTGAAAGAGGATGATTACCGCATCTTCACTGTTATTTTATTAAATAAGTGACCTTGACTTTATGCAGCAGGAAGTTTCTTTAGTTAAACACAGGACTAATGCTGGCTGATCAGTAATTCCACTAGATGATTATAAATTCAACAATCTATTTCTATTCCAGAAAAGAATACAGATAAGTGCAGTGGAGTGTATGTGTGTCCTGCAACCCTATCGGTTTCAGCTGTATTAAAACTATAAAAGAACTGTTTTCCTCTGCTGTCTTTTCTCTCATTGCTGGCAGCAGCTCTAGGCAGTTTGCCGACTTATGTATAAACTCACCAGTTTTCCAACAGCAAAATTATTTCCTGACTTGGGAACCAGTAATACGTGACTGTCACATAAGTCCCCTTCAACCTATTTTATTAATTGATGGTTCTGCAGAATAAATTGGTACTGCAGAGATAAAAAACTATGGCAGGAAAAAAAAGGCAAATAAATGCTTGCAGATTGCAGAGCATAACATATTATACACACAAAAGAACTTCCAGAGACACATTAATTCTGTGTCTGGCTATAATCAGGGCATTCTGAGGGACTACCAGAATTTTGTCTGCCGATTTCAAGACCTTCAAAAAAAAATATTGCAAGGTGATGATTCAGTTCAACTTTACCCTTGGTTGAAGTCCCAGATTGTTTAAAGAAAGTGAATGGCAAAACATAACCTCAGCCAAAAGCAGATTACTTATGGTACAGTTGTGGGAGTATTATGGTAATGGAACAGGGTTTTAAAAAATGAGGGAACTGTTAATAGTTTTCAGAAATTTGTTTTCTTAGGGCAATTCTGTCCTTTTGGGCTTCTCTCTTTTGTGAGGTATTTGGCAGCTGACATAACACGATAGGAGCTGCGGGCAGAACCATGCTTGAACTACAACCAGTACGCCTGTCACCAGCCTAATTAGCAGAAGTTTGTTCTAACATCTTTTGCCTTTATTTTTCTTGAATTGATAGATTCAATTTCCTCTTCTGATGAAGTCAGACCTCCATGGTATATCACTGTCTCCTGAACTGCAAGCTGGAAAACTTTTGATGCGTGAAACTCAGTTTTCTAATTTGCCACAGTGGGCAAAGAATGTCTCTTTCAATCTTCATGGTAATTCTCCTAACTCTTTCTTATCGTCTCTTCTGGCTTTTGTCCAGTGAGACTGTTGTTTAGCCAGCCAAGGTAAATCTCAGCTTCTGACTTCTGGCTGTGACCAGCTTGGCATGATGAAAGCAAAGCAAAGATTGCCTCCCACAGTCTAGTGAGAGGAAATTAATGGTAACCCAGCCAAATATATTCCTGAGCCAAAGGAGTAAAGCCAGAGTTCAGAAGTCATTAATTGGCCTCAGATCATGTTCTTCCATGTGGTCACCCAACAAAAGAAGACAAGCAACAGCAACAGAAACAGCATTTCCCTGCTGTTGGCAGTTCATTCTGCACACACTTTAAAGCTTTTTACTCTGAAAGCCTGAATGTATTAAAGACAATCTTAAAAGAGCTGCTACCCAGTTGCCCTTCCTCTAATGCAATGTAAGGTACTTTCACACATAATCTTGAAGTCAATTGAGCTGCCATTAACTAAGATTGATTAGCTACTTTTAAAAACTTTTAAAACTTGATAAATTTCATTTGCTTCGGTGTATTTCTTCCTGTTGGTATAAAACCAGACTTTTTTTACAAAGTACTGAAAGTAGAGCCATTTCATTTCTCCAAAGGAATCATACTATGTCAGTTTTCTCAGCACCAGCAAGCACTACAATTATCCCTGTTTTTCCAACCTTCAGTCTCACTAGACAAATTTCTCAATTTTGTCTTCAAACTCCCTGCTTAGTTCTTCAGCCCTAGTAAGTTTATGAGGAGCTGGCACTATCAAGAGTCCATAGATCACGTCACATGCTCTTTGAAGGACAGATCATATGGATCATAATCGAGGCACCACCACACAGGATGCAGGTCTTCTGAGACTTAAATTTGTCTCAGGGCACCTGGTTTCTTTTCAGGCTTTTTTTTTTTTTTTTTAAGTAAAGTAGATGTCCAGAGCTATCAACAGTAGAAGAACAGAAGAAAAACAGATGTAGTTTCATCACTGGTGCTTCCACTTCATCAGGAAGGGAAGTTGGTGCATTATGAGGAAAGGAGTGCTAGGATCAGAGATCTGCTTTTGTCTTACATCTTTGACGTCCTACCAGTAGCCTAGGAAACTAGAGAGAAAATCAAGGGAAGGCTGATAATGTTTATGGTGTTTACTCCTAAAGTGTTTTCATCTATAGCTAGGATCTGCTCTCACCCTGCCAACCTAACAGAGCTTTTACGACCCACCTAGTGCAATATTTCTGAGTGACTTACCTCGGTACTAACTGCTTCATCCGAGGGGTTGATCAGGACTACGGTTTCTAAGACATCACTTCTGTGGTGAAGAATTTTCTGACCTGCAAGCACAGAAAGAAATAAAAAAAAAAAAAGAAACTAAATTAAGTAAGCCATGCACCAGGGTTCAAAACAGTTCTTTACATATTCTTTGTGACAGCTCCCTGGTTCCCCACAGACACTGCACAGGCTCATGTTTTCAGAAACATTAATGGCATGGGGTTCCATGGGCCAGAATCTCCAGAAAGTCGAGGTGATCAGCGACTGGGGTAACTATCACCAGCAGAGCACCTGAGCCCATGTTTTCAAGGACATAACTGCACCACAAATACAGCTGAGACTACACAATCCCAAGTGGATTTAAACGAGCTTTCCCAGGAACTATGTGTAGTTCAGTTGCAGCAGCAGAGAAGTCAGCGCAGGCTGCAAACTTCCCTTGCCAGGAGGAAAGTGAATATTTGTGCCACACATCAGTACTACTCACCAAGCACAGTTGGTAAGGTGACATGAGCAGAGCAGTCCAGGGGCTGTCCCCATTACACTCTGCCAGCAGCACATCAAGCAGACCCCAACCTCCCCAGCTGCACCAAACTAACCACTGGAAATCAGCCCAACAAAACTCCCTTTTCAGCCTTTTCCCTAATGTTCTCTAACACTGGGACACCGAAAAAAAATCGCTGTCAGGATGGTCTGACACTTGCTGCCCTGCCACAGTGCTTCATCTCCCTACTTGCAAAAACTTTAACAAGCAATGTTAGGCAACAAGGGTGAACAGACGTGCAAAATAACAGCTAGCTCCAGGATGAATAACGTCTGGGCAGGCTTGGTGCATCGCAGCCTGCTGGCGTTCATACTTAGTAGTTAGTTTGTCTGTGTGTTTAATAGTGATATTCATCTGACTGTGAGTAGATGCCAAAGAAACACAACAGGACTCTTGACATCTTTTTTCTTATGGTAATTGGCAAACCCTTATCAGCATCTCTTTCTGTGAGAACTGTAGTGAGATTAATTAGCAGCTGTTTTGTCATTCAGAAATGCAGACTAGTAATTAGTTCAAAACCAGAATAGCTTTCCCTTCCAAGCAAACCACTCAGCATAATATTAATTAATTAAAATAATTAATTGTGCTCAGAAGGAAGTAGGGGGGGAACAGAACAAGTCACCTATTTGCCAACTTAGAACAGCTCCCCTGTAAAGAGATTTAAAATAACAAGTGCAAGAACAGTAATGGTGAAAAGGGCTCTGCATTCCTGCAAGAACAAGAGCAGCATCAAGGCAGTCTGAGAGGGTGGGTCACCAGCCTTTCCCACACAGCCCTGGCCCTGCCTTTGCTCGTCCTGCTCCCTCCTCCTCCTCACCCTGAGCTCAACAAGGTCTCTATTCACTGCATCTTCTGCTGTTGCTTTGGTGAAGCTCTGCATTTATAAGCATAACAGCTTGCAATCTAACGATAGAAAGAGAAGGAAAAGGAAAAAAAAAAAAAAAAGAATGCTCTCGATAAAAATGTGAAACGGGGTTACTGCTTTTTTTCTTTTGCTTGACAGTGCCAAAAGACTTGTGGATAAAAATCAAATCCATTTAAAGAAACCTACTTGTCTTAGGACCTGTGGCTTTGCATGTACTTGTTTGAACAAAGGAGACAGGCATATTATGGAAAGGGAGGAGTTCAGGTCTTCCTCTGCAGCATCCCGTTCTAGCATTAACCCTTGTAATTCAATTTATTTTAATAGGTCTGCTTCCTTGCCTTACAGGAATGCATACATAAGGTTACATTCAGTAAAACATCCAGCTGGCTCTGTTACCACAGACTCCTTCAGAACACGCCCTACGATCAGATATTTTAGTTACTATACAGGCTTCTGTGAAATGGAGAGATTAAAGAGTTTGTTGAACTTAATGTTGGGAAGGAAACAAAAGAAATTGTCACCCTCTAGCTGCCACAGAAATTTCTCATGTTATAGCTGATGACACAGAACACACACTTTGCTTCAGGCCAAACTAAGTCTCATATATGATTAGATGTTAACACATTAAATGTAGCTGGAAAAGAAATGCATTCAGCCACATGCAAAGTTAGACAAAGATAGTGTCCACCACACTCGACATGATGACTTGGGGCTTCACTGATGTGGCTCCAAGCTACCTCTGATGATGGGACAAAACTGACCTGAGGAGCCAAAATGCTTGCTGACCACCACTGATGGTGGTTACTTACTGCAACTTACTAAATTATAGATGGAGTGGGAGAACTGGGGATGTTTGTAGAAGATCTGAGGTTGCTCTAAATTAACTCTACCTGATTTTTACAGCCTATCTCTACTCCTATGTTGGAATGGTTTTGTGACACGATAGAGAAGGGAAGAAGTTTCTAGATTGCACAGTAGTGGTTGGATTTTATCCAACTTTAGTTTCTGGAAGGCAAGACAAAATCCTATCTAAAGATTCAGGAAATAAACATTAATTCTCTTTGGAAGAAATTTAAGTTTCTGTTCATCATTAATTTTAGTAATTTAAGCTTCACATTAAAAATAGATATGAATAGAGTCATGGAAGCCGTTTGATTCAGAATCAGTCCAATAGAGTAGAGAAGTAAACAGAACATGACAGTTACTTCATCCTAGAATCAGCCCAGTTCCTATGGCCATAGGATGTCACAGATCATTGCTTGACCAAATATTGATGATATGTATACTAGGATTATTGACATCAGTATTGCTCCTAGAGAAGTGACTCAACAGGCTTCTAACTTGGTCTTTTCAGGCCAATCAAGAAGCATGCTCGTGGGACCCACTTTTAACAGGGACTATACTGCAGTTAATTTTGTGCAAACACAGCATGTGAGTGCACAGTCAGGGAAAGCAAGTAAGTGTGGCTTCAAGTCCCTTTGAAGCAAGGACCCCTACTGACAGTCTTCTCTTCTCTGGCTTTCACTGTGCAACACCAGCCCAAGGGGATGCATACTTTAGGCAACATGCTACTCAACAGAATAGTTCCCATCAGCCCTTCCCACCAATGAGGATGGGTGCAAGCACTCCCTCGCTCCTGCCACGGCTATTCCCATGCTATCAAATCAAGTAAAATTCAGAACAACTCATCCATAGAGAAAGCATGAAAATCTTTTCTGTGGTGATTCTTGGAGAAAGTGCAACGGGAGAACACCTTCTCTCTGCAGATAATCATTGTTTCGTGCCTGAACTGACATTCAGGTGCAACTCTTCAGCAACCTTTAACGTCTTCTCTATTTCATTGTAAAAACTTCAACGTATTGTTTGTCTTTCGTATTAACAGTATACTATGCCAGTTACTATCCTGGTGGCATTAGCAGATGGCACAGCTTGCAAGGATTCCCAGTGAAATTTCTCACAAGTCTTAAATAGACACTGAACTCTTTGCAGCTGGAAATGTTTAGTGCTTTGTGATTGCAAATAGCAGCAATGCCCACAACTCCCTAGCTGCTTGCCTCTTGTGGAATAACTTCTGTATATCAACGGGAGGAAAAATCCTTTGAAACAAACCATGACGCATTCATTTCTATCTAAAATTCTTGAGAAGACATCTTAACAGAAAAATTCTGAGGAAGAGACATTTTCCCAACCAGGCAATATTGCGTTTGAGGAGCAGCAATGTGTAACATTTTTCCTCAACACTTCTGAGTACAGATGGCAGAGCAGGTTGGTATATTTTAGTTCCTATTCAGGACAAGATCCTGTTTACTGTTATTAGAGACACAGTTGCTCCTTAAAAGCTTTACCCAATGGCTTTATGTCCATGTTAAGCAAGAGCTGATGACTGAAAAATATTACTAGGTGAGGATTCTATATATGTGAATGTATAGAGCTTCGAGGCAGGCTTGTCTGAAGCACTAAGGTCAAAGCATGGGCAAGTCAGACACTTTTTTATATTTATTTTCATAGAAGAAAATATACAGGGAAAATAAAACAAAACGTGTAAAACATTTAAAAACTGAAGTAACAAGAAGCCTGAGGCATACAACAAGATGTCAGCGCACAGTATTTGAGCCGCTAAGATTCTGATAGAGTATCAGAGTATGCCTGTCACTTTTCTGGAAAGCAGTAACTGATGTTAGAGTCATCTCAGCCATCTCTGCTCAGATTTACCACACTTGATGAAGGGTATTGGGAGGTGATCGTATCCTTTGTATGTGATCCATTTAAGGTAATAAATTACTTTTGAGCTTTTTGCCTAGCAAACAATAGTGCAATAGCCCTTACCTTTTCAGTAACTGCTAGTTGTTTCACTTATTTTCCAGTGGGATTTCAAAAAGGTCATGATAACCTTGTGGTCAGCATGGTTGCTTTGTGTTATTAACAGGGCATTGTGAGTTCCAAATGACTGGTCAACTAGTGGCTGCTATTTCTTATACCAATTGAATAAATCCATTTTTCTTGTTTTCAATACAGAGATCAACATAGCTCTATAATTGTGACCAACCCCTAAACCTTCTGGCTGCCAACATGAATGCATGATGTTGCAAGAATTCCACACCAAGGAAAAAAGAGGAAGAACCTCCTTTACAGCAGAGTAGCAGTTATCTGGAGAAACCTTGCATGAATGACATGCAGCATTCCATCCACCTTCTCAGTTAAGATGGGGCCACCAGAGTACTTTACTGCTGACCTGAACTGCAAGCTACTCAAACAGGTACTAAATAGAGAGTTTTGCAGAGCTGCCAAAACAAATTCTGATGTAAAAATTTGGAGTTCTCTATCTGCAAGGATAGGATTCATGGACTTGATAGAGAAATGGTTGCATGAAGTTGAGGCACTGGACTATGGGAGCAGAACTTCAGAAAGTTCCTTCCAGGCACATTCTAAGAGCCCTGCAGGTAATGCAGGGTGTGGGAGCACTGACCAGTCTATCTCACAACTAGGTGACAGGATGGGGTGAGCCAATACGGGCATAACTCCATTTAAGTCAAAGAAGATAGATTCATTGCCACCCATGCTCAATGTAACCTAATGACTTCTTTCATTTAAGTGGGTGCAAAGAAGGAACAATCATTTTTATCAGCAAGAACTCTTATAGATTTGTAGGAATATCA